AAATTCTAATCCTATCAATAATTTTAAAACCAGGCAGTTAATATGCACACTTCAATATGTCTATTTATTGCAAGTCATGTCATCTCAATATATGTTATCGCACATTAAATATTTTCTGGTCTTACCAAATATCCATCACTAAATAATGTATCGATAGTGGGATCGTTAAGCAGTCTCAAAATCGAAGCCATGAAGACGTGTCAGCAGCGCCACGTCTGGCTGTTCTGCTACCTCACCCCCTCCATCTACACTGACACACACAGATCCTAATCTGAATGTTTCTATCTCGGTTCAGTTCCTAGATGAGACGCTGCGGAGCGTTTAGCTGCTCGACATGATTGTAGCTTTCATCGCTCCACACAGAGCGATCAGGACTCCCCTCTGCAGAACCTTCAGTCTGGTTCTGATCCAGGTTGTGTTCAGTAAGCAGGTCTCTCTGTGTTGGAGCTGCAGGAGCTGATGTGTCACATGGTGATGGGGAGCCTGGTGATGTTCAGGAAGGACTCTGTGCTCAACATCCTCAGTGAGACACTCTCAGAGGACACCTGTCCTCACGTCTTCCACTTGTCCTCACATCGTCTTCTTCTTCCTGTGTCCACCTCTCCTTGCATCTTCTTTGTGTGTCCACAGTTTAGTCTCTAGACTGGGAGAACTCCCCCTGGAGACCATCATCCCCATCCTGCAGCATCTTAAATATAAAGGTGAGTAGAGGACAGTCTGATTAGTCCTCTGACTCCTTTGTCTTACTGCAAGAATATTTTTCTCCTCTCAGATTCCGAGTCACTTTCTGTCACTCGGACAATCAAACACTCTGAGACCTCCAGATTAAAGGAGCTGCTCTGATAACAGCACCTGTCAGGTAGACGTCCTGCAGTGTTTCTAAAATTTCAAAATCAAAATTTAAGGCCTTTAAAAGTCTTAAATTCGCTGAAGTTTGTTTTCTAGGTCTTAAATCATTTTAACCGGTTTTTAGTTTCCAACATCCATGTAACTCTGCCTCTAATGCTCATTGAAATGCCCTCGCAGCGCTCAATGTTTTTTTCCTGGTGGAGTGGTGTAGTTCTTTCTGTTGCTAGTCTAAATATAATTTGCTGGATTACGACTACAAAGACCAACAAGGAGCTTTCGTGTTATTGCCGCAAGTCTTTTGGATTGTACCAGAGATATAAAACGGATTTATTCTTCCGCAATGGGGAAGTGCAACCGTAGCAACTTTTGGATGGGAAAATAGATCTTAGGGCTTAAAACCAGTCTCTAGCAACATATTTGAAACCTACTGTTGCTGCTTAATGAATGAGCGCTGTTAAAATTTCACAGGATTGTTAATGATTTTCAGTAAACTACAGTAACACTCAACGCATGGCTGTCTCCCTCTCCTCCTTCTTCAAAGGATGAAGGAATGTGAGGGAGAGAGCGGCAGAAAGTGATGGTGAAAGTTAGCAGAGCATAAGATCAGCATTAAGTTGTCAGGCTACAGCTCTGTCCTCTACCGGACATCTTGATAGTTAAATTAAAAAGAAAGGATGGTGTTGACCATGGAATAAAATTATGCATAGTCGCTTTTTCCACAAAACACAGTAAAGTAGTAAAAAGAAATTTTATTTAGTTCAAGATTCAAGTTATCACTTAACACAAAAAAATCTCATTAAGAATCTGGAAATAGAGAATGTTCAACATTATTGCAAAAATGAATGAAAACAAATGATTATCAAAATTGTTGCTGGTTATTTATCTGATCAAGCAGTCAGTTACTTAGTCTATTCAGCTTTATGCAGTATGTGTCATTTCTACATTTAAGGTTTTGATACTAATAAAGACAACTTGAATTGTAATAATGGAGTTGTATTTGTATTTTTAACAAGATAACTACCTCAGATTCCCCCTCTGTTGTTGTTGGGGTCAGATTTATCACCACTCTTATGGATGGGAGATATAAGAGTTTGAGTCCAAGTGCCAGCATTAAAACTGTGTTAAATAATTTGAGCACTGCCATGATTTGACTTGATTGGACAGTAACATGACAACAAATAAATGCATAAATAGATGCCAACACAATGACAATATACATTTATCAGAGCTGTCGAGGATAAAACCAAGACACTTACGAGAAACTTATTTCCATTGTGGTCCTCGTCTGTAGCTCTAGAGTGTTGTTTTTATCATTTCATTTGTAATGCTGTCAGTACCACATGCTTTTTTGCTTTTAGAGATTTCATCCCTTGTTCACTTCATTTAGCACTACGGGAGAAGATATAATGCAGGAAGGTGTGTGCTTGTTTCCTTTCTGTGGTTTATGCTCTTAACAGTTTCTGTTACATGTGTTGAAGCATTGGAGGAAAAAGTGTGACCTAAGGATACCTGATCAACAAGAACAAAAAACGAATGAGTCTGAACTCCAGCCCATTATCCAGAGAAAACCTAGGATGGAAATTGATGGAGGCCAAAATGATTCTTCATCTTCACAGCAGGGGGAGACAGAGACCAACCAGATCAGTGGGACTTAACTTAGTTTTACAAAGATCTGATGTAGTATTGCCTAATAATGATGAATTTCATTTAGATAATAGTATGCTGATTTGAAGGAGCGTTCTAGTTAAATGTAATGTCACTGTTTCTATTTACATCAGTGTTTTTCATAGCTTTCAGTTTTTCAGAATTGATTCTTGTTGTCACGTGATGTAATGTAAACAACATAATGTCCTGTAGCCTTGTCCATACATGCAAACAGGTTATACTTCACATGCAAACACTTTCAGTCTGAAGGCTCCCAAAGCAGACATGAAAGACATTTGTAAGAGTACCTTTTCTTTGACAATATTGGTCCTTCATATATCTACTCAGGAAAGCTCAGCGTGAATAGCCTAGCATGTAGTGTGTAAAACACGTTTAAAACATAAATCCCCACTCTCATCAGAGACAAAGCCTCATGTTCTGGTCCAGCAGAAGTTGTGACTGTGGCCCTGACTCCTGCTCTTCTAGCCGCCATAGGTTGAAATGATGGCGCATCTTGTGATTGCTCATGGAGGAGTGTCAGCAGGAAATCTGTTTGCATTCATGCAGTCAGTTGGTACAATAGATATTTCATTTACATTCTTTTTATCTTAATGACCTTCTGTCTGTAGCCAGTCAATACAAATATATGGGAAAATATGTGTTAAACAAATGAGCATGTTTTTATAGTAGAGAGGAGCAGCCTGAGCAATGACGTAGAAGGTAAAACTGAGGCTCAATATCATGATTCACCATTAGGTTTTTGTCTAAATGGCAAAGAGAGTGAATGCTCTCGGAAATGAAATCTGCTGCTCATAATAGAGGTGGAGGAACCATTAGGAGTGTCTTTAAATTTCAGTTGATGAGGAGGGTTTGCTCTAAAATAGAGAAAAGGTCATTTTAGACTGAATAAAATCTTCACTTATGGACAGGCAAATGTAACATACAGCTGTTGGTCTGTTGGGAATCCTCAAATGTGATCTCACTGCAGGTGCAACTGGTCTGTCATGGACCTCCACTGGAGCTGTGCAGGAGGAACACTAGGATGGCTGCTATCAACCGTTTGTAACCAAACTAAAAGCCACTAAAGATTTACAGCATTGATATGCAACAGATTCACTTTTTAATAAAGACAACTACAAGTTATGACTATCTGTACTGTGATAAACCTGATATGAGTGCCACACATTCAATTTAAACCATCCGTGAAGAAGCAAGAATATTGTTATAAGGACTTAAGGATCCTTATCAATCTTTTTTTTTTATTATTGCACTGTCCAATTCTAAACCAAAAATAAATCCATGCAAATTAATTTTATTTCCATAAAAACTTATTCTGTTTTTGTTACCGTACTAATTTCAAACATTTGCATGGAGTTAATTTAACAAGACAAGGAGTCTATCTCTGTGTGACTGTATTTAGACCCATTGGTGCTCTGAGCTAAAGACACCATGTTAACATGCTCACAATGACATTGTTAACATGCTGGTGTTTAGCAGGTTTAATATTCACTATCTAGCATGCTAATTCTTTCTAATTAGCACTAAAGACAAAGTATAGCTAAGGCTGGGAATAACATTAATTTTGCTAGAAACAAATCTAAAAGATAATCAAAAGTACACTTCATCCTGTGGAAACATCTTCTCATAACTGTTCTGATGTGGAGTCACAGCAAGTATGACAAGAAGTAGATCATATTACATTAAACTGTAAATAAGATATATTGAAATTACAAATGATATTGCAGTAATTACTAATGTGTGTCAGTCACATATTCAGCTATTTTAGTCTATTTAGTCTATAATTACTAATGAATTTCCAGCTGCAGTCCAGCTCCTGCAGATTCACACAGAACAATCACTAGACACTAAAAACATTAATTTACATGCAACACCATTACATAGGCTCGATCACACTAATAATTTATACATACAAATCTACCAGCTCTTATCAACATATAAAGAACAGCACATTCATCCAGTACAATGAAATTACATATGACTGGTTGCAAAATATCCCTTTCGAATAAAGATTTTCATTCTTTTTCCCATGGTGCAAAGAAAAGAATGAAGATTTTCATTATTTTACCCATGCAAGTTTTCAGCTCAGCTGGAAGCATGTTTCAGTGTTTGACTGCCTTAAATAAAAAAGCAGATTGTGCCAAGGCCAACAGCAGTCTGCCACAGTGGGATGTTTATGTCTGAGTTTAGTGTATGGAAAGGTTGTGAAAAAAGCTATTCAATGGTGGACATTTTCAAAATTTTTGAGGTTCAAATTGTACGAATTGTAACACCTTAACTAACAGTTCTTACGCATTATTTTTAAATTATTAATTTTATGGCAGTCAACAGTCTATATGAGCACAAAAGGCACAGTAGGGTTTACCACCAAATATGTATTAGTTCAAAGAGAAAATAAAAAATAAATAAAGCCTTTCATTCTTTTACTCACTTGGTCCTTCACGTGGACATTAACATGAATATAAATATTTACATAACACACACTGCAGTATCTGTCAATGTTTTGAAGATTTATTGCACAAAACATTTCAGCTGTCTGATATGTCAAAAGTGCTGTTTAGTAAGTGCATATAATAATTTGTAATTGCCTCTTGCAATGGTGAAAATATTGTAAACGCATCTTGTTCCTTCATGATTTTCAGACGATGAGTGCAATCAGCCCCCCGATTGTTCCTCCAGCGCCGGCTACAGCTGCAGTGGCAGCTCCTGACAGACCAGCTGCTCCTACAGCAAGATCACACAGGTTTTAAATGAATGCATCGAGCCACAGAGTAGCTGAGAAAGCCTTGTTCTCCAGCCAGAATGTTAAATTGAAAGTTAAAACTACACGTTTAAAACAAATTAGAAAAATAAGTACCTGCTGCCTGCAGAACAGCCACGGTGCTTCCCGCCGCCACCGCTCCTCCGTTTGCGACTGCAGCAGCAGACATCATGCCGGCAGCGTAGGAGCCTGCTGCTATTCCAGCCGAGGTGAAACCTACACCGGCCAGAACAAGAGGAGCTGCGACCACCGCACCTGCTGCACAGGGACAAGAACACAGATGGTGCTAATATTATATACATTACAATGCCAGAGTGCTAATTTGTCAGGACACAGGATCGCTAATGCTTTGTTTAGTTTGACATTGAAATTACTTTTGTAGCCTACATTAAAGTGCGTTAGAATCAGTTGAAAAATTAAACACAGGTGATCAGTAAAGGTTTCCCAAAGACTTACTTGCTCCTGCTGCTCCAATGGCAATTGCTGTTACTGAAACAGATGAAAACAAAAACCAACATTTACAGCTATTTGATATATCTTTGTTTAATCAAAGACAATTATTTTTAGGCTACTATCGTCACACTATCATATAGAATTGATATGTAGGTCTACTGTAAAAGTATCAGTAGCCTACTTTCAAAGAAAATTAGTCCATCAGTATAGTCAAAGGAACCAATACTCACAAATACCCATGTTTTTCTCTTCTGATGAGCACCGAACTGGGCTGAGTTTTATAGGCTACTGAAGTGCAGTCTTTTGTAAGGTATCATTTCCTGAGAAATGAAACTATAATCATGTCTGAACAAAAGAGGGCGCCATAGAGTCCCCCATTTAACCAAATAAACTTTTTGTTATAATACACTCAAGTAATTAACATTTCTGAGGTGGTTAATCACGACTAGGCTATAACTTACATCCGATGAAAATAAGAAAACCAAAGATTTGTTTGGACAGTTTGGTTCTGACTCGATTTCTGAAATGAAAACCAGGGACAGTTTTGGTTTAGTGGTCAGTATGTCATTAAGTTGTTGTCATTGTTGAATGTCATTATGTTATGTAATAAAAAGGGGGGCAATTTCTATTCTATCTTCTATCTTTTTTTATAATCTGTCAAATATAACTCTGAATGAAATCAAGTCATTTTGAGTCAGAAACTACCTTTCAGTCAATAGTTTGAAACTGCATTCACTTTTTGGCAACTGGAAAACTGCAGTACATGGGCTGTAGGCCTATTGACTATTCAAGGTACAACAGGTTCAACAGGTAAAAAGGGCTGGACTGGTTGGTACACAGCAAGTTAAATTATGTATTATTAGTAGGCCTAGACGTCTTTATTTTATAACTCAGCAGTAAGTCACGTTAATTATAGGCTAGGCTACATTGCATTTTACAAATATAAACATGGATTATTAGACATATGCTTACCAAACATATCCGCAACAACAGGCTTCTATTATTGTCTATAATCACGTAAATGTAAGGCCTGGTTACATTTACATTTACAAAGGAGACAGCATCAAACTCTGGCAGATTGTCTTGATTTATAAGGTCTTCCACATCAAATAACACAGGTCAGTCATTTCAGTTAAGTCAATTTATTTATATTTTTTTATTATTTCATAGCAGGCCCATCAGCCGCCGCCTCTACCTCCATTATTGGTTTCATCCAAGAAGCTGACAGTGCTGGTAAATTTAGGCCTACATCAACAATAACTAAACAATTATTCACCTCTAGGAACACCCAGTGAATGAACATGTCAACTTACTAAAATTACTTATTTTCCGTGTTAATCTCCCTCATAGGTCTACCTGTGCCTACTGAAGTGGAGAGCAGTACCATCATGCTTACTACCACATGGCTCTCCAGTTTCTACTCCTCCAGTGGATCCAGCTGACTGGCCATCAGCCCTTAATGACCAGTTACACGTTGATGTGGTGAGCATTAAAACCAGCACAGGTTGACAGAAACATTTTGACTTTTCCAAAAAGACACTCAGACATTAAAAGTATTTTCTATCATTACATGTTTAGATCACTCATAAAGAAGCCGGTTGAGAAAAGTTATGCTATCAACTGTTTTGTAGTCTTTGTCTCTTAATCTCTTGTATGGCTGTTAATAAAGATTTAAGCTTTGGTTCATAATCACTTTATCAGTCTTGAACTAAGTTCATCAGTGTCTACTGGGTCTTGTACTGCCATTAGCTCAGTAGCACTGGTGATATCATATTTTTCCTGTTTGACATCAAACAAAGTAGATATACTAATATAGAGTATAGTGTAGTTATTGTTTTTCATCCGAAAGCTTTATTGTCAAACTGTGTCATATATGGTGACAACGCCCGACAGTCAGAGGGGCCTTCAACAAAATTTTGATTAGGGCCCCCGAAGGTCTAGGGCCGGCTCTGGGCAGATCTATCATCTCTAAACTTAAAATAAGCCTCATGAAGCTACACCCATCGATAGATAGATGAGTGATTAAATTAGATAAATACAAAAGTCTGGACAAACCAAATATTTAAAGTTATTATGTCATAATTGAAATGCTTTACTGACACTAAGTGACAGGTCCATGTGATGATTCACATTCCAGTGAGGAGTCAAAACAAGTGTTGAATGAAATGTGCAGTCAGAGAAGGACTGAAAATGATTGTTGATTCACTCGTCACAGTGTGGTTTTCTCTGTGATGATTTTTATAAAATGAGAAAATTCTCCCTTGCCACTTGACCATTCATCCCTTTCCCCCATCCCTGCATCTTCTAATCCATCCCTCTCGCAGCATCTCAGCTCACCTGCATAACATGCTATAAACTATTCCAAGTATACATCTTTGCAGGCGTGGTCTGTGTTAGTGAATCAATATTATTATTAGTTTATGTCATTATACATCTCAGTGTTTTTGTTTTACAGCCAACAACTTTACTGTGGCCAGAAAAAAAAGTTAATGAACCAGTGAACACATTCATTCATTTACTTAGTCCTTTCAGGTGGACATTGGAATGGAAATATTTACAGACGACACACTGACACAGTATCTTTTACAGGTTTTAGATTTATTGCACTGCATATTTCGGAGATTAAACAAAAAAGCATACTTGCCAAACCTCCTGATTTTCATGGGAGGCTCCTGTTTTTCATTGCCCTCTCCCGGTTTCCTCCCTGGGTCACAATTCTCCCGATTTCTCGATTTTCTCCTGATTTATGACAAATGTTCTCAACTTTGTGTCTTTTTCATTGCCTTCATTAGTCTTTCTGGCACTGTACAGCGCCAATAAGCGCTACGACTCTCTCTCTCTCTCTCTCTAACTCTCTCTGTTGTTTCCACCTGGAGCAGCGGACCTTGGTCAGGAAGTATGAATTATGCTGTATACTAAGTAAATTCATATATTTTGCGATTGCCTCCTTCATTTAGCAAAAGTAAAAAATATTGTTATTCATCTTTTCCCTTCATGATTTTCATCTGATGAAGTTTGCAAGCCATCCTACTGCTCCTTTCACTGCTGCTTCAGCTTCTGCTCCAGCTTCTGCTCCAGCTTCTGCTCCAGCTGCTCCTCCCACTGCTGCTCCCACTGCTGCTCCAGTTGCTGCTCTAGCTGATGCTGTGACTGCTGCTCTTGCTGATACTCTAGCTGCTGCTGCTCCTGTGCTAGTTCCTGACTGACATTCTGTGATTTTCTGATGAAGCTAGCCATCCATCCCACTGCTGCTCCAACTGTTACTCCAGTGCCGGCCACAGCTGCAGTGGCAGCTCCTGACAGACCAGCTGCACCTACAGCAAGATTACACAGGTATTTTTTAAAATCAATTCTAGGTTTGCAAGACACTTGTGCACTTTAGAAAGACATGTTAGGGCACATATGTGATTATCATTCAAGCAATGATAATCTCACCATTAAGATATTTTTTTTAACCACAAGGTTAAAATTTTATTTTTAAGAAGAAGCCACCGTACCTCCTGCAGCCGCCGCTCCTGCATTTGCAAACTGCAGCAGCAGACATCATGCTGGCAGCGTAGGAGCCTGCTGCTCCAACTGCTGCTCCAACGCCGGCCACAGCTGCAGTGGCAGTTCCTGACAGACCAGCAGCACCTAAGTACAGCAAGATTACACAGATTTTCCATCTAGGGTATTGAGCTACAGAGAAGCTGAGAAATGTTAAATGAAACAGTAGCACTATTATACACAGTAGTGACATTATATTCTACCTAAACACTGTAATGTAAACCCAAAGCTATAAATCCTTGTTATTATCGTTTCTTTAAATTCCAGGTTTGTGAAACACCTGTGTAGGTTTTTGCATTGTTTTAGAATACAGATTTCACAAATCGCTAAAAAGTGTTTTACTGAATCTTTAGCCTCTCTGTGACCACTTCAGATTTAGTTATATACATTTTAAAGTGGATTTCAGGCAGCGTTATGGCTTGGCCAAAAATGTGTAACAGGCTTTCACAAGAGGTGCAAAAACAACAAAAAAAACCCAGCAAATCGGCCGCTCAATGATGACAGTTACTAACTTTCCCCTTAACTGGCGAATCAGAAGCTAACTTCGGTGTCATAATATTAAGAAACAGTTTACCACATGATTAAAATGTATTTTAAAATTATGTTTTAAAGTTGTGGTATTTACCTAATGCCTGCAAAGTAGCCACTAAACTGCCTGCAGCCACTCCTCCTCCGTTAGCAACTGCAGCAACCGACATCATTTTAGCAGCTATGGAACCTGCTGCTATTCCGGCTGAGGTGAAACCTGCAACCCCAAGAGCAACAGGAGCTGCGACCACAGCACCTACTGCACAGGGACAAGAACACAACAGAAGAAACGCTGTTAGTAGTGACAGTGTGTTAATTTGTTAGGCCACTGGATCGCACATTACAAAATAATATTAAGTTTAGTTTAACATACATGACTACATGACTTTTGTTCAAGTGTGTTAAAATCAGTCAGAAAAGTAAACAGGTGATCCATAAAAGTTTTCCTCACCTGCTCCTGCTCCCATGGCGATTGCAGTGACTGAAACACTGACTGAAATGAGATGAAAATAATGATCGACATTTACAGCTAATCTGAGTTCATCAAAGAAGTTTGCTATAGTTACTATCATTAGTACGTTTTTATAAAGAAAATATACAAGAACAAGTATGAGGGCTTTTTAAGGAACTGTATCTGGATCATCACAAAAAGTGAAAACTCACCAGGATCCATTGTTGTCCTTCGTGTTATGATGAACACTGAACTGTGCTGGTTTATATAGCTGTGTTAGGTTTCGTTTCTTCAGAAATTCATTGGCCTGTCTTAGCCAAAGAGGGCGTCACAGAGCCCTTGTCCCCATATAACCCATAACATTTCTGAGGTGGTAGGCTAAGCCATGAGTATAACTGAACATCAGAAGAAAAGTAAAAGACAGAAGAAATTAAACAGTTAATGTTGAAACAGTTTTCTGACTGCACCTTCAAACCTGCATTCTGGACAAACTTTCATCTTTTAGTCACTGACGAAAATGTTGTTTTGACGCTGTAGGTTGTGATGTCTCTTTTATTACTAAAGCACAATATTAAAGCACAATATTATAATTATATAAGTATTTACAGTTAAGAGATTATAGTGTAGTTGATTACAGTAAAAGCTGTAAACTGAATAAAATCTGCAAATTTGACTCATGATTTGGTTCAAGGCTGGTGGCCAAATCATTCTTCAAGTCATCCTCATTTAAATTATTGTAAGATGAGATTTATTTTTGTGAAAATGTATTTTGTAGATTACCCTCTCTGATTTATTGGAATTTTCAGAAAGTTACAGATGG